GCTCTGCCCCCCGCCCCTCCCCGCGGGGCATTGTGGGAAATGTAGGCGCCGCTCCGGGGCATGCTGGGGCGGGGGTGCAAAATGGCGGCCGGTGGGCGTTGGCTCCGCCACGGGCTCCCTGCACACAGGGAGGTCGGAGTAGCTCCTGTTCCCCGTCGGTGTCGCGGCCACTCTGTCCCAGTTCCCGTGGGTGCCCCGGACCCGTCACAGCTGACAGGGCCCTGCCGCTGGGCCCGAGCCTTCCCCCTGGGCGCTCACTGCTGTGGAGCGAGATGGAACTGTGTCCGTGCAGCGCGGGCTGGGGGGATCTTGTATCCTGCCTGGAAATGTAAGGGCAGAGGGGACAGCAGCCTCGCCGGGAACCTCCCCAGTAAACCCTCCTGCGTGAAGCCAGTTTGTGGCTGTAAGTGGGGACGTGTCTTGGTAGCGCTGAGCTCCGTGTCACGGGCAGGGGAGGCTCATCTGGAGGCACTTGCTGTGGCAGGAGCAGCACTGGGGCTGGGCACATGCTGCTGAGCCCGCACCAGGAGGCCCAGCAGTAACCAGTATGCTCCAGCTCGCCCTGTGCTGGAGTGGGGAGGGAATCAGGATTTGTCTCAGGCAGAGAGGCTGGGACCTGAGGTCCAAAGAGCTGCTGACACCAGCTCTGCCAGGTTGGGTGTTTCATTGGGTGCCGCTGGACCATCATTACACGCAGCTCGTGGTGCCTGTGTGAGCTCTGGGGTTCTCCTCCCCTTCCCAATCTGAACCCCTCACTGCTTTCCACCCCCCAAGGCTAGATTAGCTGCCCACTGGGGTGTTGCAGGCTGTTGATGCTGTTATTTGAGGTCTAGGATGGAGCTAATTTTATACCTTCACACGCTAGATAAACCACAGCGGTGGCTAATCTGATAAATAATGTTATATTTAAAAAGCACAGGCCCCGTTCCCACTACAGTTACTCAAGGAGCAATACAGAGTTCAGATGATGCCCCTTGTTAATGCAGGTGGAGCTACAATTAGGATTTGGCTCATCCTTCCTGAAAACATGGAACCCCGGGCCAGTGCACCAGGACAGCTTTGTTTGGGCAGAGCTGTAGGTTTGGGGCTGTGAAAGATTCACATAGAGTGCAGCGACATTTGTATCCAACTCTTCAAATGCTCAGGCACATGATGTTACCTCACAGGAGACCCCGTTGGGATGGGAGTGGCAGAGAGCTGCTTCTTTCCCGGTGCCTCCGTGAGGTTCCTCTTGTTGATCCTGCTGCAGGAGTTTACTGTTAGTTGGAGGTGCCGGCGCACATGGCTGTTGTACATCAACTGCTGAGTGAGGTAAGCTCCAGCCCTCGGTTGGCCGCTCCGGGAGGGTGAGACAGATCTGGGCGCATCCAGACTTGGCGGCAGATCAAAGGCAGGTGCTGACACTGGTTCCGGCGGTTCCCTCCACACCTGTCCTTGCCTGTGGCGATTAATGTATAGTTTTTGCTACATGGGAATTCAGCTCTCGGGAGCAAAAGCAACGCCCTGGTGAGCTGCTTTAAGGAGGGACGATGCAGTTGGTGACAAGTGATGCCACTGTCACGGGCAGGGATGTGGCCCTGCGTCTCCTGGGGACGGTGCATGGGATGAGCCCCTGTGACAGGGCTGTGGCACGGAGATGAGTGGAGGCAGGCCTTTTCCTCCCTGCCTGGGTGTGGCGTGGCACCTACCTGTCCTGACGCCTGATCAGGGATGAGATTGAGCTAAACGAAGCTGACAAAGGAGGATGCTGTCTCCCATCAGTGCATTTCCACCCAGCCCATTTCCTTCCCAGTAGAGAGTGGTGGTTGGCACCCTCCCTCTTCCTGCTCTGCCTGCGGATTGCACGGAGCAGCTTTGCCAGGGTCACCCTGGGAGGCTGCAGCCGTTCATATCAGGGCCCCCCTGCGCCTCGATGCAAGACAGAGCCCCCACCTCCGGTGCAATGTGTCGCGAAGGTCTCACTTGACCAAAAAACCTGCTCAGAGTAGCGGGATCCCACATCCATGTGGACCAGTTGGGATGGCACAGGGCCAGGCAGGGACCCCACGTCTGCATGGGGAGAGCATGAGGCTGTAGGGGCCACGCTGCTGCTTAGGACCACCCTCCTGCATCCCAGTGCGGTGGGGAGGAGGAGGAGAGGTGATGAACTTGACCTGCAGCCCCTGCAGGGCCGGGGCCACCATGGCCATCACCGCGAGGGCCACAGCCACCCATGCCCTCCCTGTGCGTCAGCGAGGCTGCGTGGGACCAGGGCACGGGGCCACCCGGTCACCCTCACGGGCACACAGAGCCACTTTGTCCCCAGAGCAGCCACGCTGCTCCACTGGCAGCTGTGGAAACAGCCTCTCTTGCAGTCAGGCACAATGAAAAATAATCATAAAAAAGAAACACTGTAAAAATTGGGAGGGGGGGAAGAGCTGTGTGAGCAAACGTTGAAAGCCGCATGAGTAGGAAATAGATTGTAATCTCCCTAACGAACTGCAGTTAATCAGCGTGAGCAACTGTGAACAGGGGTTTGACAGGGCTTGCTACCCGTGCCTGTTTCCAGAGGGGACCCTTATGTGACTGGGGGCTCTGTGCCCCCTACAGTAAAGCCCCCAGAGTCACAGGTCAAGGGGACAGGATTTGAACAGAGGTGTGCTTGGACAAACTAACCCTGACGTTGGTGTGGGTTGGGGGGGGGAGGTTCTGCAGGGAAGTTTGCCAGCAGGCTTGGCTTTTGTTCTCAGTTTTTCAGGGAGCAAATTAGCTGGAGGGGAGACAGGCCAGGCCGGTGTTTCTGCAGAGAGCTGCCACATCCACCAGCTCCTGGTTCGGGTGGCCCCTGGGACTCTTTGCTCTTGCCTTCTGCGGGCCTTGGGCCAGATCCTGAGCCAGGATTCCTGAAACAGGGAGTCTGCAGTCTAAGGACAAAAACCTAAATGAAGCCCAGAGCACTGTTACCTTCCTATACAAGCATTAATTAACCATATAGAGGTGTTGGCCCTCCCAGACATGACCTCTGTGGCAGCCCTGCCACTCAGAGGGAAGTTCATAATCTCTGGCCAGTTCTCCAGCATCCGTGTCCCTCTTGGCCCTCCAGACCATACCAGAATCCACTGGTGGATCCTGATTTCTTTTAATGGGCTCTTGTCCACAGTGGGAATTAAAACCCTGCACTGCTGAGGAGGGAGGTCTGGTGCCTGCAGGGCCACAGACATCTGGGGGAGGCCTGCAGGGCAGTGGCTCCAAAAGCTTTATTGCTTGTTGGTTTCTGCTAACATCTACGTGACTCCAGTGACTACCAACCACCTCCAGGGAATGCACGTGTTAAGGACACCCCAGCCTTTCTGTGGAGGCGGCGAGAAGGCACCGCTCAGTCTGACCAGGCTTCCCTGGCAGCCGCAGTTGCAGAGCCAGGCAGCCAGGGGCGCAGCAGAAGGGTTGCTGGTAGAAACCAAGGGGAAAACTGCAGCCCTGGGACAGGCAGTCCAGACCCACTGGTGGTTTTGGTTGGTTTGGTTTTTTTTTTCAGGCAGGGTAGAAAACCAGAGTCTGGGGAGATGAGTTCAGGTCCCCCACCTGGGCAGCCCAGAGGAGACGGCCCCACTGCCTTCTCCCCAACGTGGGGCTGTCTGAGCCTCCTGGCACGTCGTGGCTGCAGCCCTTCCCTGAAGAAAATGGGATCATCTCTGCCTTATATGTGGTCACCCATAGGCTCTGTGCTGGTTCCTACTTGTCTCCTGTATTGAGTGTCCGCTCGGAGGGACGTGCTGGGCCCTGCCATCCTGCTGGGCTAGTTGGTGGGCTCTGTGGCCATGGTGTCTGCATCCGGAGACGGCGGCACACCGCTGTTCCCACCGTTGCTCACATTGTCCTTGCTGTTGTCCCTCATAGGGTCGTTGCCTTTGTCCTCCACTCTCTGCTTGAGTCTGAGGGAGGAATCTCTCCTGGAGAGAAGGGGTTGGTAGCCAGCAAAACCTCCTCCGCTCACATTTGTGCGCTTGTCTGGGGACAGACAGAAAAAGAAAGTTGTTTACATGGGGTTCAAATTGACCTTTCAGCTAAGGAAAAGGTTGTGGGGTCTCTCCTTGCTGGAGGTCTTTTCTGTGAAAGATGGGGGTCCTTCCAGCCTCTGGATGTCCTCAAAGAGGGGAGGATGGGTGGGATACTGGGCTCGTGCCTCAGCGTGGCCGTGCTCAGGAGGGGCAGGGAGGGTGTGATGACTGGTCTCCTACCTCCCGGCTCGATGGGGTGCATCAGGCGGTTCATCTGGACGTTCCAGTGCTTGACGTTGGTGCTGGCCTGTCGCAGTTTCCGCTGGGCTGCCTGGGAGGGGATGAGAGGGGTGAGCTGGCTGCTTGACAGCTCCCGACCCGGGACTACAAGCGGGAGCTTCCCTTCCCTGCGTAAGCCTGAATTGGAGGCTCCCTCTGGGATGGAGACCCAGCTCAGAATCACACAGAATCCCAGAATCATCTGGGTTGGAAAAGCCCCTGAAGCTCCCCCAGTCCAACCATGACCCTCCCCCTGACCGTTCCCAACTCCCCCAGATCCCTCAGCGCTGGCTCAGCCCGACTCTTCAACCCCTCCAGGGATCCCGGGGACTCCCCCCTGCCCTGGGCAGCCCATTCCAACGCCCAACAGCCCCTTCTGCACAGAAATCCTTCCTCAGAGCCAGCCTGACCCTGCCCTGGGCAGCTTGAGGCCATTCCCTCGGGGCCTGGCGCTGGGGCCTTGGCTCCAGAGACTCATCCCCCCTCTCTGCCCCCTCCTGGCAGGGAGTTGCCGAGGGCCAGGAGGTCTCCCCTCAGCCTCCTCTTCTCCAGACTGAACCCCCCCAGTTCCCCCAGCCGCTCCCCAGCAGACCTGTGCTCCAGACCCTGCCCCAGCTCCGTTGCCCTTCTCTGGCCACGCTCGAGTCATTCAATGGCCTTTTTGGGGTGAGGAGCCCAAAACTGAACCCACTCATCGAGGGGCGGCCTCACCAGTGCTCAGCACAGGGCTCAGATCCCTTCCCTGTCCCTGCTGGCCACGCCAGTGCTGATACAAGCTCACCCTCCTCTAGGTCTTCTGCTCTTCCTCTGATCCTCCCTCCTCCACAAACTCCCACTATTGACATTGCTCAGGACACCCCCCAGGGCAGGACACTGTATCACCCCGTGCCTGTGCCTGGCACAGCTCAGAAAACCCCCGAGGCAATGCCAGCTTGGTCCCCAAAGCTGCTGGGTCCTCCCCAGTGTGGCGGTGACTCAGGGAGGGCTGGGAAGTCCCCTGGGGCTCGCAGGTGAAGGGATGTGGCACTGGTGGGATGCTCACCATGACGTCTTGGTCCACCCGCTGCCTGTTCACTCTCACTTCTTCCAGTTGCTTCTGTGCATCTTCCAGACACTTGTTTTTGTTCTCCATCTCCTGCTTGAGGACTTGCTTCTCCAGCTGAGTTTTGATGATATATTCCTCTTGCTCCTCCTTCAGCTTCATCAGCTGCTTCAGCTTCTCCTCTTCCTCAGCCAGTAGCCTGTCAACGAAGAGCCAGAGGTGAGGACATCCCTCTGCCGCTTTGTCCACCAGCTTCCCCCATCCCTGCTGACATACTGGGAAACCACCAGCACACCCCAGTACCCCCGGGGAGCGCCGCATCGCCCCAGGGAGCGGTGTCCCCATGCCCAGCCACTGCCCTGGGAGTGGGACAGGTCGAGGAGGAGCAGGGATGCCCTGGGCGTTACCTGGCCTGTGCATATCTCACGGACTCCTCGTCCTGTCGCGCTTTCACCTCCTGCTGCAGGCCTCCTGCAGACGCTCTTGCATGTCCTCCAGCTCCAGGATGCGCTTGCGCTGACGCTCTGCCTCTGCCTCCTTCAGCACCATCTCTGCCTGCATGGAGCGCGAGCCTGCGGCAGGGAGAGGAGCCCTCAGCGCGGGCAGCTGCCAGACCCTCTTGTCCCCACATCCTTGGGGCCAGACATCTGCCAGGCCAGCGAGAGCCCGCGCTGAAGCAAGACTGTTTCCCTGCTCAGGAGACACACCACATCGTTTGGAGCCGGCGCTGGCTGCAAGGTCAGAAACGGGCTCCCTGGCCATCCGGGTGCTTGTCTCTCCACCCCGGGGCAGGTTGTCCTCAACTCCTGCTTCTTGGGTACCTCACATTCTGTCCCTCATGCCCAGGTCACATACAGCCCCCAGGACCCCCAAGGTGCTGGGTGGCAGCAGCATTGTTGCAAGAGTGGGATGTGCTCCTAAAAACTCCTCCAAATCCCCTGGGCTGCCACGGGCAAGGGAAGGGGAAGAAAGCACCCACCCCACGAGTGACAGCCCTGTGGCAGGGCACGCCAGGAGGATGCACCCACCTGCTCAGCCTCCTGCAGCTGGATCTCCAGGGTCCTCTGCATCTCCTCGTGCTGCTGCCTCCGCCGCTGCTCCTCTTCTTGCAGGAGTATCTCTGCCTGCCGCTGGGCCTCCTTGAGCAGCTCCAGCTCCTGCAGCTCCTCTCCTTCTCCTCCTGGAGCTGCTTGAGCCGCTGCGTCTCCTCCTCTTTGGCCGCCTTGCGCTGCTCCCGTTGCTCCCGCTGCTCCCGTCGCTTCTGCTTCAGGTCTTTGTGCAGGGAGTTCTTGCCCTCGGCCTGCAGCCGGATGGCTGTCTGGATGGCTGGGGAGGGGAGGGGACAGTCAGTGGGGACATAGCGTGACAACTGTCAATGTTAGGTTAAGGGTTGGACTACATGATCTTCAAGGTCTTTTCCAACCTAGATGATTCTGTGATTCTGTGACATGGCAGGGGGCACGGGAAGGTGGGGAGGGGGCACAGGGTGGGCACAGACCTAGTGTCCACTCCTGGCGCTGCCGGGTGTCGGAGGCGCTCATCTCATAGGTGCGGGACGAGGTCTTCACGCAGAACATGCACCTCTTCCCATCCCGGTCAGGCAGCACCTGCAGGGAGAGGACACAGGATGGCGTTACCCCCCCCGTACCCCACCTTAGCCTCACTTCCTTCAGCCGTAGGACTGGCTCTCCTATGCTCATGGATGTGAAATTGTGTATTTTTGGGTTCTCTTCCTGGGCTCTGAAGGGGATCTCCTGGGTCTCCTGTCCCCACGCTGAGCCTGGCCCGGGCCGTACCTCCACGCAGCAGTGCCTGTCCAGTGTGATGCTCCCCTTCTTCTCCTTCCGTTCCTCACTCATGTAGTAGGACAGGACACTGGGCTTCAGCGTGAACCACCGCTCCGACCAGTTCCTCCTCAGCTGGCCCTTCTTCCAGAGGTAGCCCTGTGCCCGAGAGACACGGGGATCAAAAACAGGGTGTGGGGGGCCAGAACGGGGTTTGTACCACAGGATACTGGGGGCTCCTTGCCTGTTTGAGCACATCCTCGATGACCTCCTGGTACACCTCCTCCACGGCCATGCTGACGGCCTCCTGCTCGATGCCTCGCAAGAACCGCCCCGAGTTCACCATGTCCAGGAACTGCCAGACCGTCAGCCCCCCCTGCCCCTGCTGCTCCTGGGACAGGTAGTCATCCAGCTCGCAGGAGTTCAGCTCCACGTTCATGGCTGTGCAGATCTTCTTCAGCAGATACTCCACCTGTGGACGGGGAACTCAGCGACGGGAAGAAGTGAGAGCTCACCTCACCCTGCCAACTGATTTTGGGGAGACCAGGACCACATTTCTTTCCAGCCTGGAGATGCAGGACCCTTATCCCAGAGGTATCACCTCTTCTGATGGTTGGTGGTCATGGCCAAGGTGTTCCAGGCAGCAGGCAGGCTTGGGAGCTTGACGTTGGGTTAGAGCCTGACTGCCACTGGGAGGTTTTAATCTCTTGCTGGGCTTTTAACCACAAGGCTGAGATGTTTTGGCCTTGTTTGTCTGCAGAGTGAGAAAACTCTGCACAAATCAAGTGCCTGAAGGAGCCCAGACCAACGCTGCTGTCCCCACACCCAGCCAGCAAGGCAGGTGGCTCAGACCACGGCCCTGACCTCAGCACCCTCAGCTTTCAGGTGATGTTGTAAAAACCCTGAGGGGGGAGCAGGGGAAGAGGTCCCTATGGAGGAGATGAATGTCGTTTTGAAAATGGAAATAAATTGCTTAAAAAAGAGCTAAGATGGGTGACATGACGTTGGGAAGACTTATTTCAGCTCAAGTTTTGCTGCCAGCTCTCTACCCACGATCTAGGGACCGAGGAGGGTGGGTGACTGCTGAGAGCCACAGGGAAAGGTGAAACACGGCAGAGTGCCTGCACCCAGCTTAATTTTTTTACATCATGTAAGTAGGAGAAGGGAAAGAAATAATGGAGGTTTTGGTTTTTTGGGTTTTGTTTTTTGTTTTTTCCCCAAGCTCAGCCCTGTGAGCAGAAAGATGATTCAGTTTGTCATGGTCTGGGGAACATTTTTCAGAAGGCAGCTGCTTGCCCAGCTGAGCTCCTCCTGGTGAGGCCACCCTTGGCTTCTGCGCTTGTTCCTCCTCCCCAGATCTGCTCCCAAACCATGGGGGTTTGAGCTGACCCTCAGAAAAGGGAGAACCTCCCCCTCCAAATGCTGGGTGGAATTTGGAGATTTGGAGATTACTGCCAGCAGCTTTGCAGGGCAGCCAGGACAACCTCACTCTTAATTCTCTGGATCCTGGGTAGGGGTGAGCATCTGGTGGGAGCGGGCACGGTGAGGGACAACTGGGTCTGCTCTGCCATCACCTTCGTGGTGGCACAGGCTGAGAGCAGCCCGAGGGACACGGCCCTGTCCAGCGTGGCAGCGATTTCATGGGGAACAACCTCCCATTGCACCAGACTTGTCGTCTTCTCTTTCTCCCCCGTGAAAATCAGGAGGAGACTTCCATCACTGTGCTCAAGTCAATCCTTGGGTGAGATGGAAGGGCTTTAGGCCAGGGACCAGCCCCAGGAGGAGCTGAGCTGCGGATGCTCCTTGGCTGGGGCTCTGAGAACTGGCATATTCATTTCACACCAGGCAAAAGAGATCGTTCGTGTAGGCTTGGACCACAGAAGACCACTGTGAGCCCCCACCTCATCCTCCAAGACGTCTCTACTTGAGAGGCTTCAGCATTTTGGAGGTGTCATCCCAGCAGCTCCCAGGTCACCCCCCTCTCCCTGGGCATAGCGGGGGGTGCCCAGGGCAGACAGCCCCCTCCTCTTCCCACCCCTGATCTCTCACACCCTGGAGTGCCCCATCTTGCCGATGTGGCGGGACATGCGAGGAAGCGATAACGGGATGTGTCACCCCCAAAGGGAGCTCTGCCAGCGCGCACAGCCCTGGGAGGACGGGGATGGGCGCCGGGAGAGGCAGGTCCTACCTCGTCTGGCACCATGACAAGAGGGTATTTGTCTTCAGAGAGAAAGTTGAAGAGACACCAGAGCTTGAAGGCATCTTGGTGGATACAACACTGTTCCCGTTCCGGTCAGGCTTGTAATTCTTCTTCGCTGTTAGGGTCCAGCAGAGCTCATCAAAATTTTCTTTGACAAAAGCACCTTCCTCCACCTGTGGGCAGGAGTCGGGGGGGTGAGCATGGTGCTGCAGGGGTACAGATGGGGGCTCTAGGGGGGTGGAAGTGCTGGAGGGAAGAAACCCTCACCCTGAAATCTGTCCCTGCCAATGAGAAGCAGGGGGTGATTGATAACGTGTGACCCACAACAACTAGAGTGTGAGTGGGCACTGACCCCTGATGCCAGAGCATGTGTCCCCAGCACAGGTCCCTTACACGGGTCACCAAGGTGTCCTGGCCTGTGGAGAAGATGCTGCGGGACCGCTGCAGCACCAGGGCACTGCGGCAAGGCCGTGGTGGCTCAGCCACGTCCTGCCGGGCTTTGGTGCCCCAGCAGGAACCCAGTGGTGAAGCCCATGCAGCATTGTGTGGTGCTCTCCAATCCCACCTCCCAGTGGCTTTGGGTTATTCTTGTATCCCATTTGACCATAAAGAGGAACTGGGGCTCAGCGAAGGGAAGCGGTGGCTCACGGGCAGGCAGCAGCGGAGGCGGGAACGATACCTCCATCAACCTCAACCCCGTTGCCTGTCCATGAGCTTCTGTGACCGCTTGCCCATCGTGAGCCGCTTCACACAGCAGCTTTGCTGTGGTGTCGGTGAACTGTGATGGGGACCAAAGGAGCTGGGCCACATCTGGCTGCTCCGTCCCAGCTCCGTGAGCCACATGACACCAGCATGAGGGCAAACGGCAGCCTGCAGCGGCAGAGCTCAAGAAAAACCTTTGGGTGGCAGAAAGCCGAAAGCCTCTCTTACTAGGAAAACCCACTTCCCCTTCTCAGGCTGTCTGGGATTTTATTAGCCATGGTGAAAACAGAAGAAGGGGGTTTAAAAGACATCTCCTAAAGAACCACATGGGAAAGTGGAAAGATTTTGGCCGCTCTGTGACAAAGAGGTTGGGCTGGGCTGAGCTTGGGCAGCTGCCTGCCCCAGGCAGAGGGAGCTGGGGAAGGCTCTGCCCTCGATCGCTGCAGACCAGATCCCCGCAGCTGAGATCAGCATCCCTGGACCAGGCTGGGCAGTGTCTGACCACCTCAGGGCAAGGCAAAGACCGGCACAGAGACGGGTATGGAGCACCGCACGCCGGGGAGAGGATGGCTTGGCCCTGGGGAAGTGGCAAGGGAGGGAAGGGTTACAGCTCCGGGCCCCCCCTTTTTTTTCAAGCACACAGTGGAAGAAAGTTGTCAGTCATTTTCCTCTCAGAAACGAGCACCCAGCCACAGAGTCTCACTGCGCCAAACAAAGGTGCCTTTGAGCCACATGGAAAAAAGGGAGAAAGCCCCTGCCCACCAACCTCTGCTCCTGCCCCGCCACCTCGTCCTCCTCCCTCTCCTCTTTGCCTAAATGAGGTCACACCTCCAATTTGAACAGTGGGGGAGAGGAAAAAGGCTGATTTCTCTCTTTGAGCCCTTTACGAAATGTGGGCAGAGATGCACCTCCATCCAGAGCCTTAACGGAAAGGGCCAACTTCATCCTTGCCAAGGAGACATTATTAAACACTTCTCACTCGTTTTGGCATTCACCTGAGTGCTCCCCAACTCTCTGTATCCTTTTTCCACGCAGGAGGTGGGGGGTGATGGCCAAGGGCTCACCTTATCCAGGATGTACTTGTTGAGGTACGGCATGTAACCCTGGCTGGACACCGGCCCGTCGTCGTCATCGCGGAAATGTTCTTCCAGCGCCACGGATCGTGGGGGATGCACAGCACCGTGTACAGGTTGTGAGACAGCACCTGCCCGAGCACGAGGGACGGGGAAAAGGTGAACAACCTCCAATCCTGCCCCAGCACACCCCCACAGGGCCACCCACCCACCCGGGGACCGTGCTCTGCCCAGCATCACCTCCCTGCAGCCACGGCATCAAGGCACAGTTTGGGTTATTCCTTAAATTTAGAGAATCATTTAGAAACAGGCAAAAATTGAGGATTTTTCCACATTTGTTTCTTTTTTTTTCTTGGCTCATAGGGAACTTTTTCAAAAAAAAGGCCATTTCAAACATTACAGAGCAAACAGGACATGCTTTGATCTAGAAAAGATGATAAGCCACCCCAAGCCATGCTGTTTGGCAGCTGCCCCTAGCAATTCTTGAAAACATAACTAACGACGGCGCCCAGCCTGGCAGCAGTTGCTTTTTGCCAGTGGGGCACAGAAAGACGCAAAGATGAAAATAAGAAAAGATCTGTAAGAAACTAAGAAAAGTTTTTGTCTGGAATGGAAGCAGACGATGGAGATCTGGAGACATACCATCTCCAGACGGCTGCGAGTGTCACCAAGCAGCCCATTTGTTCAGATCCCCCAAAACAAAGCATGTTTTGAAGCTCCCGAATTTCCCACGTGCTGGAAAGCCCACACCGCTGCCGGGCCAGCGGCCAGCGCCCGGACAAGGCTGCCCACAGCACAACCAGCATCTCCAGCTCCTGATGCCAGCCAGGCGGTTGTCTCCTTGTCTTCACATCCCAGCAAGCAGGAGATGGTTAAACGAGCGTCCCAAACTGATGCGGTCCCATCGCACCAGGGTTTGCAGATGCAGCTTGCCAAGGTTTCAAGAGAAGGGCTGGAGGAGATGCTGTGCAGCATCCCCGCTCCTCTCTGAGCAGGGCTGGAAATTTCCTCCCAGCCAGAGAGGAGCCGCCGGAGGCCATGCCGGCTGCTGCAGCTGGAGTCGGTTCTTGTTCAACCAGATTTTCTTTCTCTTTTTCACCCTCCAGACCGATGCTATCAGCAGGACTCCACCCTGCACTCAAACTCACACACACAGCGGGCTGTAGCCCTGAGCGCTGCTGCTACGGCTGCACCTTTTGGGGTTCAGTGCAGCCCGGGGGTCCGCGCAGGGGTGGGGAGGGCTGGAAACACCCTGGGCATCCTCTGGGATGACTAACAGATCTGTCAGGATGGATTGAAAGTTTGGGAATCGCATCCCATTCTCCATTTTCAATATGAGGTCTTGCCCCCATGCCTCGCACCTCCTCTCACAGCACCCCAAAAAACCCTGGGGGGCCTCGCACGTGCCCCCAGCCGTGGCTGGCACCCCGAACCCCTCCATTTGCCCCAGCACACTGTGAACCACAGTCCCTCTGCTCGCCGGAGCGGTCACCTACAAAATGAAAGCGGGACAGGGAGGGGAGGAAATCCCCTGCCAGGCTGACATGGGGTGCATGGGGCCGGGGCTGCCCCAACCCCATGGAGAGAGGAGAGGTGGGAAACCACCACCCGGGCTGTGAAAAGAGAGATAAGAAGGGAAAATAACTGGGGGGAGAAGGGAAGGGATGCTCTGAGAGTGGTTTGGTGACACAATCTTTCTCCCGCAGCGTGCAGGGGATGGCTGGCGGCGGGACAGAAGTCTGCCCAACACCCCCTGAGCACCCCAGATCCCTTCGGGCACCAGCCCTGATGCTGTTCTCCACCCTCTCCCTGGGTCTCCTGTCCCCCCTCACCCCCTACTCCCACCCCCTGCAGCCATTGCAACGCCAGCCAGAGCTGGGGGTGGAATATTTAATGCGGCTGGAGAATGGCAGCCCCTCTTCTCCTGCCCCGTGGGAGAAGCCGGGGGTGATGCCAGGGCTGGG